AATCGAATGTTGGAATCGTTATTTCGACTTTACGAGTGGATTGGCAACGAAAATTGAATGTTTAATGCGAGGATTATCCCGATAAACGATATAATTAAAGAAACGAATTTCGATGACTCAACGTGAAACTTGAAATTTTAAATCCGTTTCAAATGATGTATGTGTTCAGTGGAATGTTTATTTGGAAACTCATCAGTGGAGTAAAACTAACAGCAATAACAATCATAACAACAATTATAATGATAATAATAATATTATTATTACTACGTTTCACTAACGTAGCTAAACGTAGCGAAATAAGCTTTTCGCTATGTAACATAGCGCCCTACTGCCCATCTCTGAATAATATTATTAATAATAACCACAATAATATTAATAATAACAACAGTAATAATAGTCACGATAATATTGATAACAAGATTGATTATTTTACCGACCATAAGACAACCAATAGTAATAAATGCGGTGAGGTAGAAGGATGCTACTGGGTTAACGAAGGCTTGTTAATTCTGAACAATAATTGTGTGCTTTAGTCGTTTACAGTGGCGATATTTATCTGAGATATAATTCTGCACTGGTTTATGTACTCTTCACAATACTTTCGAACTCGATTCTGGTTCATATCATGCACATTCGTATACAAAACGCAATAAGTGTACATTACAAAAAGTCGCAAAACAAACAATTTTAATGTTTATCTTTACTCAAATCTTCTTCACAAGTCCATTCTTCTTCTCCCATTCTTCTCGAAAATATTCTTCGCTCAATATTGATTTTGTAATTTGAGTTTTCGAAAACGAACAAAACACCGATCGGAATACAACAACGAAAGAGTCCATCGCTCTCCATTGCCAACAATCGGAAATTTAACATTCTCCAAAATCATGAACTTGCTGATACAAAATATTTGATGTAAACAAGATGATACTAAGTGGTGATCTGTTCAGCAATGGAACTATTCGTGTAATCGTTAGAGAATGAATAATTGAGAATTTTCAAACTAATATCACTTTAAATTTATCTTATAAATTGGAGATTATATATTCACAACAACAATTACTGACGAACGATTGCTTAATAAAAACAACTTTGGAACGAGATGCAGATTCTGAATCAATTAAATTTTTCTGATTCATATCTTAATATACTCCCAAACTCCTTATCATCATAACAAGTTTTTTGCACTCAGTAATGTATTGGTTCCAATACTGTCAATAAATCTAGTTATATTTAGAACACTTCCAAAAATTTGTGCACTTCACAAAGATACTGTCTTCAATAACAACCTAATTATTCCGCTTATTATTTAATGTAAATATCGTTGACTGTTTTCAAGTGTATACACGATCATTTGCTGTCATGTATTCGACTATTTCATCATTCCACTATTGTGATCACTTTAACCGTATCGCACGATCATGCACAGACACTGTATGCATGACATTCACAATCAGTGATATCTTGCGATGTGAACCCAAATAAAGCTTCAGATCTGCCAGAATCGCACCCTTCTGACAGAATTCAGTTTCATTTGACTTGACTGATGTCACTACAGATGGTGCTAGAAAAACCTCACTAGTCAGTCTCTCGGCCAGCCAGTTTCTTGAAATTCAGATTTCGCAGTCAGGTTGTACAAAAATGGGATTCATTCGTCTTGTTTGGATCAGCTCGGATCACCTTGTTCGAATCGTCGAACTGACCCAATCGACACCTTCCCCTCCTCATGTATTGATTTCAGGTTGCAATATGGGTTCGCCTCAAAGCAACTGGTGTCGAGTTTGCATAAGAGTAATCATGCAAACGGGCGATCTTACACCAACTTGGCTTAACAGCTGTTTTTAATGGATTACGGCTTATTTTTGACGTTTAGAAATTCGACTTAATTTCCGGAATATCTGGAACGTGAGTGAACGAATATGTAAACAATGGTATCGCCGAAAATACTCCAGTTCATTTTGGATGACCAACTTAAATATTTTCTTAAAAGTTGATTGTTTTGATAGAATCAATAAAATCCAAATACCCATTTATTCAGTGACAATTGCAAGTTTTTACTTAAATTTATGTTTGAACTTCTTGAAAGTTGAAATTTCTTCTTCGTGAATTCATTGCCTGATTCTGAACTCGTTTGAAGATGTTTCACGGTTGTAATTTGCTTTACAAGCTATCTGCTGAAAAAAAAAAGGAAAAATATCGAATTTTCCTCAAATCACCGTCTTTCAGTGTCATTCGATAGATTTCACTAGATATAACTTGCTTTACAATCTATTTGCTCTATATTCAGTACGAAAATATGTAAATTATCAATCATTCTAATCTCTTTATTATTATTGTAGTCCTTACTGAAGAAGCTGTGAAAATTGTTCATCTTTGTATATTTTATTGCATAAGGTGTTCCATGAACGCAAATTTTACATCAGTGATTCAGCATCTTTACGTGTAACATTTTAAAGTTTTATCGGATATTTTATTCACAGTCACAGTCGAACGTAATTCGAACGAATGTCTTGTGCAAGATGTATCACGGTTATTTGAAGAAAATTGCGCACTTTGGGTGCTTCTCGTGGGCATCTGCAGGAGTTTGTTGCAAGCTCCATGAATGTCTCAAAAATGATTTACACACTTCCAGAAATCAGGAGATGACATCAAAACTAAAAGGGAGCAGGTTAGAGGCGGAAGTGGATCGTTGTCGTTCGGAATGCAACTGGAAACGACTCGGCGAGATAATCCCGTCGATCCGCGCTAAGAACAGTGGTATGGATAATTTAGGAGATTTGATTGAAGCTGAATACATTCTGGAAACTTTCATCGATGAACACACTGGTCAGTTGTGCTTCTTGCGGTTCTCATTTGATTGCGTTCTTCTTGCAGTCAGAATTTTGACGTCAGTTCAACTTTTTCTCCGTTAAAATTCAATCAAATTCGGTGTTCCTTGATTGGTTATTTTTTAAAATTTAATTTGTATGAAGTGTTCACTCTTGAAATGTTTCATCAGATTTTAATGTCAGGTTATCTTGAACCCAAAAAAGAAAATGCCGAATCCCTACAAAAATGTGAATCACTCCTGAAAAGTGCTGTTGAAACGGCTCAACGAGAAAAGAATTCAACACTGCGAGAAGCTCGTCTGCTGCTTGCAAAACTTCATTATTACTGGTTTGTAAATATTGTTTGCAATTGTCATTCTGCTCGAAAATTTTAAATTCGATTTCAAATTAATTGTCCATCTTGAATCATGTTTACGACAAGGTGTGTTTAGCCAAGCTTGAGTGACAATGATTTACCTTTGAGAGTTCAATGAGTTGTAGATGAAGGATTATTACGGATAAACATTCTAATGGTACTAGTATTTTAGCAACTGAGAGATATTTCATCAGTGTTATTGCGTTGATACTCTTAATATCATCATTATTATTGTTATAACTGTTGATTTTAGTATTGCAATCATTTTCAGTGCCAAATACGATGAAGTGCTGAATGATGTGGATAGTTTCTGTCGTGAGCAAGGCAATGATCCGTATGCAACGCTACGTGCACTACGTTTAGTGGCTGAAGCATACGCAGTAAAAGGTTTGCATAGTGATTATTATATAGTCCTTGTGATATAATCAAATATATTCTCGCAGTTTTGTATGGATGGAAAATGAAGAATGCTAATAGTAAGGCAAATGATGTGAATTGAGTCTGAGTTTAGCATTCATTTAGCAGATATTCGTGATGAAAGGTGATGATTCTTTGAAGGATTCTCAATTGAAGCGATTCTGAAACGTGGTTCGACTGCACAACAACCCACATCGCAGCAGCAGCAACAACGCTCGCGTATGAATGCACTCTACTGCTTCGAGAAATCCGCTGAACTCACGATTTCGTATGTGAATGAACTGGAGAAATCTTTAGCATCAACGACGAGTTTGTTTGTTGGTTTATTTGTTCATGCAATTACTCTCATTATGTTAGTCGTTTTTCCGACTATTACTGGGACGTACAGCAAAATTTTGATTATTCTGCGCAGTGTGTGCATAGTCAGTTTTTTGATTGTCGCAGCAAAAAATGATTCACAGCAAGAGAAACTTTCTATCGATTTTTGAATTCTTTTGGATTTTAAGGAGCATCGTCAGGCACTATCCTATCATCACAACAATCTAATGGAGTGAATACTGGCAGATCATTCGATAAAATGGGTAAGATCGTTTCGAAACTTCACGTTCCCTCATCATCGTATAATTTTTCATGAAGAAAAGTGAAAGTTTGTGAATCATTTGCTAACGAATTTATCCAAATGTTTGAATTTTCATGTTTGCTTTTCTCTTCTATGATGTAATAAAAATACAAAGTGAAAAACAATTTGAAAAGAAGTTTTGGAGTTGCAAAGTAAAATTGAAATTGAGGTGATTTATTGGAGTCATCGTTGGAACGTGTACCATTACTTCGGTTACGGAGGAACGTTTGCGATTGTCCGTGGGGTGTAGAGGGCATCGAATGGTACCGACATATCATGACGTCTCTTGGTGATAAACTCGTCGGAGAAAAACTTCAACAGAGGTTTGCCTTCATTTGTAATTCTGGTCAGATTTTTCAATTATCAACTTGGATTAGTTTTGTAATGAGGTACTGCGAATCGGTTTTTATCTCTGTTTCAGTCTTGGTCTTAGCGATCAATTTAATTGTAATTGAGTGATAATTTGAGTGTAATCGAGTGTAATTTTGAGTGATTAAAGAATATTTCTGAT